AAGCTAATGCTCGATAAACCGGAAACGCTCGTGAGTTGTTGTCGACGATGTCAGTCGTGGATGGTCCCGTCCGGGAAGATGGCCAAACAATGGCACAAGAGAGAGGGCTGATTGGCTGAGATGAAAGGCGGAAACTGGCCAATCACCGCGTAGTCCGAAAGCTAGGCTTGGGCTGAGGAACTCTCCCCGGGGTTGGCTGGTCAGCGACAAAACAATGACGTGGGGGAGAGTATCCACTACAACACTACCCTGCGTAACCTATCAGCTTACTAGCCATTTAGGCGGATGGTCTATCCATTGTTAGTACAGTACAATATAGGAGGAAACCAGTGCTTTGGTAGTCACACTGGACAACACCCTTCTCTTGTGTGTGGGCCAAGCAGGACTCGAACCCTTTACATATTGATCAGAGTTATGGGCTTTACTTCTGTACAATTTATTACATTTTAAAGAACACAGGGAAAGCTCATACAAGCATCTTTGTCATTCAGGTACATTGTTTCTATTTGTTAAGTGGAGAGGATAAGGATTTGCAACTGTAATCTGCAAAAAAAAAGGGAAAACCTGGATAACCCAGGAGTAGAAACTACATTAACCCCGTTAAATCTTTTACTGGAGAACCACGTAGACGAGTATTATTATCTACTGCTGTGTCAGGGTGTACACTTGGTAAGAAAAGCCTTTACATTTCTTGTATATGTAAACAGTGACACCACAAACAAAAGTTTTCGATAAATTCTCGTGTGGCATATTGCTATTCGCCAATCGTATTGCAATTAACTTAAGTTTATATTAAGAATGAAAACTAAATTAGCCTACCACAATAGCCTCGGCCCCTCAGGATCACACTAGTGAGCGAGGAGGAGAAATGGGGGGGTTATTCGGCAGGCAAAAAAATTAGCAAGGAGCGAGGCATCTCGGAGTGTATTCATTCACCCATATCGCACGGTAATGCAGAGGGAACAGCTCAAGAAGTTCCTGCAGGACTTGAAGCAGAAGAGGGAGGAGTCAAGGAGGAACGGGGACTGGTGTACATGGGTTATTCAAGGGGAGGGTAGTGGAAGCAAGTGTGCCGACACAGGGCCAGGGGGCAGCAGCGCACCCTCCACCCGCTCTACCCCCCACCCTGGAGGTGGCACCAGCTCCGCCTACCAGACAGGAGGCGAGCGCTGTGTAAACAATGACATTTCTAACCACACCCTTGCAAAATACAGTGTACTTAGCATATACTGCAGCTTCTGAGAATGGCGGGGGTTACTACTAAGAGCAGAGACGTTAACGAGAACAAATTCTGGCTTAAATGTCATGTACAGTACACTAATACTGACACGTTTCTTGATAAGAGAGAGGAGTTTGAAATGCTACTGAAGGTACACCAACCAGATATTGTAGGAGTTGTAGAACTGTAGTACAAGAACAGGAGAATCGACCCAGAGGAATGTGAATTCAGTATTGCTGGATATGACTTATTTACGAACCTTTCTCAAGAAACTTGCGAGAGGGGGTGTGGTTATCCATGCTAGGCAAGACCTTAGAGCCAGCCGGGCGAGGGTACAGGGAGTGGGTGTTTGTGAAGAGTCCAAGTGGTGTAAAATTAAATTGAAGGGAAGGGGAATGGTACGATGTCCTCCGTAAACTTCCTGACCTCTCATATGTCTATGGGAAAGGGACGCGGAAAAGGGACGTGATTGCTGCCCGTATCATCATTGGGTATGACTGCTTGGGAGATTGGTATCCCCTGTGTAACGCTCTTGTGCATTATGCAGAAGACCCGCCAGCCGCACCCTTATCCACTACCTCCTAATATGTCCCCACACACGACGCTTCCGTGACGCCTGCTGGACCACCACTCCACGACCCCCTGACGGAGACACGATGATCCTCCCCATACTGGCCAGATACAATGTAAATAACATTGATTATGTGTTAAAGGAATATCCTTCCTTCCTTCGGCTTTAGTAAGCCCCTTTATAATATTTATACTGTATATATTTGTCACACTTGCCAGATGCTTCTGGTGTTATTGTACAAGGGTACCTAGTGACAGCATTAGGATCCCGCTTCCTCTATCAAGGAATAAACAATTGAAATTGAAGGGAGGGGACTTATCGTCGGGTGTATCTACAGATCCCCAAACTGCGGCCCACTAAATTAAAGGAACTAAAGAGCCTTAATAGACAAAGCGGCGATGCTCAACCCTAGCTACCTCCTTATCATGGGGGACTTTAACTATGGCGACATCGACTTGCCAGCAGTGCGTAACAGAGATGTGACCGATCGCCCAAGCGGCTAACGAGTTGATCATTTGGTGAAGAAGATAAAAGAAAAGGAAAAGTAACAGACGTGACTGATCGCCCAAGTGGCTAACGAGCTGATCAGTGGTGAAGAGGATAAAAGTAAAAGATAGGTAGGAGGAAATGTCTCGATCACTCCTAGCAAGACCACAGGATTGTTCAGTATGAAATTCATTGGACCCCTCCTGAAATATACTTTTTTTTAGTGTACACACACACACACCACCTCCACTACTGTATATGAATTAGGATGCACACCTCATCTATTTGAGTCCGGGTGCACTCAGATATACAGACAACGTTCATCCACTCCAGTTAGACTGGTCACATAACAGGCATTGTGGGGTATGGTAGTTTGTTCGGACTCAGGATGGGATGGAGAAAGGAAACTCACAATGTGCTCTCTGTATACATGTTGTAATGGATGTACAATGCAGCTTGGTGCTGGGAAGTGGCAGCGTGGTTACAAGCGTGATGTAGAGAGAGCTGGTTGGTGAGGATGCTCAGAGGAGGACAGCTTGTGGGTCGCCGGCGGGAGCGAGGGCCGCCAGGCAGCGGCGGAGGAGGAGGTGTAGCTTGCTGCGGCTGTAGCTAGAAGAAGAGGGAGGGCACCACGAGGTCAGGTCTTAAATAGCGGAGGTAGGCGTGGCTTAGTAGTTGACCTCTGTGATGTGTGGCGGCGCTGGTTGACCCAGACTACGAGGCATACACTGGGGAATTCATGGGGTCGGCTACTCAGCGACAAACAGCGTTTGTAGGGGAGAAATCCACTACAATACTCCCTCCTTCCCTCCAGGCGGTGTAAGAGACTTGTTGTCTGCAGGGGTGCAGGGCACATGTGAGGCAGAACGGGCGGTGCATGCCGCATGTGAGCCATCACGGCGATGGCGTGGATGAGCCGGCCGCTAGAGGAGACAACTGTCTAGATACACACTATCTGTGGGAGTAGAGAGGGAGAAAAAGGGTGTGTGGAGGCGATGAATGTTGTGCTTCCCTCACGACAGGTACAGAGTCGTCAGATGTGCCTGCTGGGGTGTGTGGGCCTGGGTCAGGAGCAGGGGCTGCGTCAGCAGAAGTGGATGAGGGCTCGTGACAGCAGCTGGGTCCACAACAGCAGCAGGGTGCAGGACATCAGCAGGGAGTACCTGAGGGAGAAAAGAGGGTTGTGTGGGTCCACACTCAGGCGCATGAGCCGCGTTGGGAGCAGGGTCTGCATCAGGAGGAGCGGCAGGGGGTACTGCTGGGCCGGGGGCGGCGTCTGAGGCAGGACGGGTGTGCTGGGGTCGGTAGGAGGTGGTGCTTGGGGCAGGAAGAGGAGCTGGTGTCTGCTTAGAGAAGCAGTGCTGCTCTAGGGTGTCTAACCTGCGGTGTAGAGACAGTCGCTGTAGAGCCGATGAGAGCTGCCTCTGTGTGGATAAGCCGTCTTCCATGTTGCTTGAAGACTGGGAGTGTGATCTGTTTCTCCTCCATCCTGTGTGAATGCGAATCTCCGGGGGGTCACCATTTGTGGGGTTATGGGATGTTTGGGTTCTTTCTCCTCCATACTGTGTGTGTGTCACTCTGGGGTCACCATTTGTGGGGTTATGGGTGGTTTGGTTCACACTCAGGATGGGATGGAGGAAGGAAACTCACAATGTGCTCTCTGTATACATGTTGTATTGGATGTACAATGCAGCTTGGTGCTGGGAAGTGGCAGCGTGGTTACAAGCGTGATGCAGAGAGAGCTGGTTGGTGTGTGTGCTCAGAGGAGGACCAGCTTGTGGGTCGCCATGCTCGCCGGCGGGAGCGAGGACCGCCAGGCAGGCGGAGGAGAAGCGAGGGCCGCCAGGCAGCGGCGGAGGAGGAGGTGTTGCGTGTTCAAGAAGAGAGGCCAAAATGAATCTTAATGGTATGGTATTGGAGATTGCTGGCCACTTCGCCTTTGGGCTATTTCGGCCGGGGAATCTTAATGGAGAGACAGCTTATATACACAGCAGCCGTGGGAACTCGCCGGTTTCTCGACTCCGTTGTTAGGGAAGACGGTAGCAGCTGGTGGCTGGTTGCTAGGATACTGTGGCATCTGGTGACGCCCCCCTCCCCATGGGCCGCTCGTTTGGTTGCTAGGGAAGACGTAGCAGGTGGCATTGGAATGCGGCTACGCAGTTGTAGGGGAGACGTCCACTACAGCGTACACGTGACTTACCAGCTGACGAAAACTGAACGAGATCTCTACGGTTTCCACCTCCCCTCTCTGTGTCTCTGTCTCTCTCTCGTCATTACAGTTTCATGTTTTTTGTTTTCCGTGGAGAAAATGATGGAAGCTGAAATTCCGGACTTTTGAATTTAAAAAATTCCTTCCGGATGAAGATTTCGAGACCTAAATGGAGGAAATGTCCGGAAAAATACGGACGTATGGCAACCCTACTGAGTGCCCATAGTCAGTCAATATTAAAAATTACTTGTTGGATAGGATAAGCTTACAATATTATTTATTGTCTAGTCCTCGTCAGTTCTTCGATGGGCTACAGCTTTTGGAGAGAAGTGGCTCCACCGTGCAATTGCGGCTTTCGTAGACTTGAAATATAAGTATCTTCATCTTGGAATGCAGGCATTTCTAGTTTCATGCAGAGTATCATATAGGATACCACTAACCCGTTAGCTGCCTGTTTGAGAATGGCGGTGCGGAGACGGGGGTTCGAACTCCTGCAGGATTAATGATATCAAGTAAATTTTCGTTAGTTTTTAATGTTTAAGGTCAACCCTATAATAATTTTAGTGATTAGTAATTTGGTGATAACACAGGTAAGTTATATTGCTGGTCATGCAGTACTCGAAAGTAACTCGGATTACATTTGATCATACTTTACTTTTATATGGATGTATATACTGTACCTGTTTTGAGAATAAACTGATTTGATATGCCAGGTCTTGTCTTGCTTTCTTACCCCCACCCCCTCCCCGACAGAAAAAATCCTGCGGAAGCCTATGCAAACAAGGACTTAAAACAGTATGTTATTGAATGCAATTACACGACACAGCAGACACGGAAGCTCATCGACAAGTTTCTGCAAGTCTGTAGATGAGTGGAGACCAGTTTTTTTTCTGCTTGTGGCGGGGAGGGAGGTGGTAGCCAAGGCGAGGCAAGGAAGTAGCACCGTCTGTTGTGACAGATCAGTTTTTTTTTTTATAATTGTAACTTTTGTCACAATAGCCTTGTCCCTATTTTAATTTTAACATGATCTTTCTTAAGTTTTAGTAGTTAAAGTGTATTCCTTACGATGAGTATCAACAAAATACTGTAAAAAATAATTGGTCCTGGTCCAAATGTCATATTCTGAATATGTATAATTATTTTCTCGCCCAATGAAAAGAGTAAACAAATATCACTGAAAGACGGTGATCCATTGATATTATACAAAGGAAAATGTTAGCAACACTTGAGACACGTTACCCCCCGTCATTTTAATGTCCTGCTGGAGCACGAAGAAAAACTGGTTCACTACACAAGAAGTCAGGTTGGCAGAGGCAGGGGTTCTCCTGTGCCACGACGGAGCAAGTATCACAGCGACACGGGGCATTTATTATATTACCCAGGTGGTGCGTCGAATGTGTGTCATCTGTGTTGACTATAGAATGTGGAGTTGTGTGTGTAGTTGGTGGCGGGAGATAGGAGTCAATCACTGGAGGTAGGTAACCATCCAAGCCCGGCGGTAAATATCTGTTAATATTTAGCGGGAGCTGATCAGTCTGGACCATGGACATTGTTATCGTCTCCGACATCCATTTAGTAGCGATGATGGTCGAGTACTTGGTCACGGTGCTGGCACAGGTAAAGGAGGGCTCCAGGTGTGCAGGGCGAACCCCCAGGGGTGCCAGAGCCACCATCAGATACAGCTGTAGCACCTGACGCAACATACTTCTATCGGCTAGATACAGTCGTCCCAACACACTCCTGTGCAGAATCAAGGTGGTCATGAATAAGCTTGCTGTAAACACTGTGTCATTATTGTACAAGAATCACTTCATTAACAACATATCACACTAAAAGTTCTCTTACCACAATCTTACGGAAGCAAGACGTTGATGGAATGGAGACTAAAGACAAACTGGCCGTTCACTCACTCCCACCAGGTAAAGTAGTTGAATCTGAAGTGACTGTATATGTAAGCGTATCTTATTTTTTTCGTTGTCTGGGCAGCAGTAACTCGGTGTTCAAGCTGTGTCCGTAATATATACGCCAACCACGTTAAAAACAGTAAGTTTTGAATTAAATATAATAAGTAGTCACATTATTAAACAGATTAATTAAGAAATCATACGATGGCAGCAATGTTGGGAAGGCCAAGCTGCCTTTCAGGACCTTGCCCATCCTGCTGGTCATGGAAAGTGTTTGCTAAAGGAGAAACCTTCACTGCGACCTCCCACAGTATCAGAATGAAACCTGCAGCTTGTCATTATTTCTCGTTCCTTTATTTGATTATGGTACAGATTTTATCCCACTCATAATCAACAGTTATTCTTTTTTTTAGGGTGGGGGTGCTTGTCTTTATGTATTACGTATCGTAGTGTAAAACTTCCATATTCTGTCTTCTTTCATCCAAGGGTGGACACATGATGCTTCACGTTATTCAGTGTTTGGTGAACGATTCACTGGTTAGATATTTCTTAAACTAACTGTCTTTCTGACATTGTAAATTTCCAAGCAGCTGGTTGGAATACTGTACAAAGAAATAGGAGTCGTCTCTGCGTCAGGAGTGAATGTAGACTGAAGCAGCAACTTTTCCTAGTCACACAACTGCTTCCTCCCCAATATATATATATATATATATATATATATATATATATATATATATATATATATATATATATATATATATATATATATATATATATATCATGTAGATGTAGATCCACAATGGAAACGTGGATAAGATAAATCTTGAGATGTCTTGAATAAAAACGAAAGCTAAGGTTCTCTCCATTGTTTCCCTCTTCCCTGTGTGATTTTATCAATATATATATATATATATATATATATATATATATAATATAATATTTGGGGGGGTAGCAATGTTTACAGGGAAGTGTAAGTTAACAGATAAATTTGGAGTATTCGTGACAACGGACTGTGTAATATTCGTGACGAAAGATCGTGCACTGGGACTGATCGTTTTGGAAAATATGTTTAGCCTATAGATATGCAAAACTACATTCAGTCACGCCAAAGTAATGAAATTGCAGTCAAAATTTTTGACACGTATTTGGTAACTGCGGTATTTGCGGCTAAATTGTTAGTTTGTCGGCTGGCTAGTCATCAGACAAAGGTGAGGAGGATAATTAATTTTTTAAAGTGGGTTGTAGGGTCAGGTCCCTGAACCAAGCGCGTGACGTGTCCAGGATAGGGGAGTTGTGCTGCTCCTCTCACTGTCACAGAATGTTCCAAGCAGGGCCGGATTCAGGAGTGGGCAAAGTGGGCAGCTGCCCAGGGGCCTCCACAATCTGGGGGCCTCCACAAATTGCAATATTTTATTCATTTGTTTATTCATATGGATTAATTTTATTTTCATTCTTTAAAATTCATGTTTATCTATTCCATCACGTAAAACTATGTTCAGCAAGAAGCGTGATAGAACTTAGGCTAGCTACTCCTTGAAATTCATGAATAATGCAAAGAATCATCTCTCTGTAATAACTAATATATTTTTTCTGTGAAGTCTCTTGAAAAAAATTGACATGTGCGGTAGTAGCTATATCAGGGCTGGTCGACTTGAAACCACATGAATGACTCCAGTTATGTCTCACTTGTGTGTGTGTGTGTGTGTGTGTGTATTGGGAATTTGTACACTATCAATAAATATACAGTTAATTAACAATTTCTCAATGTTCTAATTTCCTCAATATAACTGCATATGGCTTCAAAATTCTCCAAAGAAGTATTCAAATTTCAAAATTTTCCCGGGGGGCTTACAGCGCCCCCCGGAACTCCCAGATGTTTAGGCTCGCTTCACTCGCCATCCCACCCTCTTGGGTAGTTATAATGAGGGGGGCCTCCACAAGAAGGCTGCCTATGGGCCTCCACAGGTCTAAATCCGGTACTGGTTCCAAGGAAGGGTGTGGCGGATCTAACGTATAATGTAAGCCGGACGCCAGTGTATTTCCACTGTCTCGTATGTCCGTTTGGTGTATTTTGCATGAATGCCTTAGGGGTCATCACTTAGCACAGGTCAAAGACCAGTGCGAGGCCTTTGTCACGCGGCTCTTTCCTCGAGGCGACCACGAGGAAGAGCTCACATACAGTAACACTCGCCGAGAGTTTTACGTGACTTTTATCATTCTCCATACGTGCCTTGTGTGTGAACAGCACAAAATCCTTTGTCGTATACTGTAGAATATAGAGACTATAGGAGTAGCGTGCCTTCACACGATATGAATCATCCCTTTGTGTCTCTAACAGTTACTTTGTACCTGTACAGTAGGTTGGTCATCAGTGGTCGGGTGATGAATCCTTTGTGGCTTCATCTTCAGGATAGTTTGTTCTTTACTATAACATTTAGAATGTAATATTATCAAACGATGCAAGGGTTTTTGTGTTTATTACGAGTGTGTGTGTATAAGAATATTTCTCAAACCAGTCGCCTCATTTTGATGAAAATGATCACGTGAATTTAATTTAAAATTTCAAGGACACGGGTCAAGGCCAAAGCTTTTCACTGTGCAGAGGTGTTTGCATTTAAAGGCATCTTTGACGATGCTGGCATATACACAAACACAAGAACACAGAGATGTTATTGTCGTAATCTAATTTATTCTTGAAGTTCCATTTAAGCTTAGAAAGATATCAACCCACGGGAGTTGGGGGGGAGATATCCACTACAATACTCCCCCTTCCCTCCAGGCGGTGTAGGAGACTTGTTGTCTGCAGGGTTGCATCCCACATGTGAAACATAACGGCGAGGGCGTGGATGAGCCGACCACTATGGGAGACACTTTGTCTAGATACACGAGACCTGTGGGAGAAGCAGAGGGAGAAGGGGGGTTTTGTAGGCGAGGAATGTGGTGCTTCTCTCGCGGCAGGTACACAGTCCTCAGTAGCGCCTGGTGGGGTGTTTGGGTCCGTGTCAGGAGCAGGGGCAGGCGGGCCGCGTCAGAAGGAGGGTCCATGACAGCAGCAGGGTGCAAGACAGCAGCAGGATGCAAGACAGCAGCAGGGTCCACGACAGCAGCAGAGTGCAGGACAGGAGCAGGGGGTGCTGCTGGGCCGGGGGCGGCGTCTGAGGCAGGACGGGTGTGTTGGGGTCGGTAGGACGTGGTGCTTGGGGCAGGAAAGGGAGCAGCTGCCTGCTTAGAGGAGCAGAGCTGCTCTAGGGTGTCTAACCTGAGGTGTAGGGGCTGTAGCTGTAGAGCCGATGAGAGCTGCCTCCGTGTGGATAAGCCAGTCTTCAATGTTGTGATTGAAGATTGGGAGAGTGATCAGTTTCTCCTCCATCCTGTGTGTGCGATTCTCCGTGGGCACCATTTGTGGGGTTATGGGATATTGGTTCACACTCAGGATGGGTTGGAGAAAGGAAACTCACTATGTGCTTTCTGTATACATATGTTATTGGATGTACAATGCAGCTTGGTGCTGGGGAGTGGCAGCGTGGGTCCAAGCGTGGAGTAGAGAGAGCTGGTTGGCGAGGGTGCTCGGAGGAGGACACACAGCTTGTTGGGGCGCCGTAGTCGCCAGCGAGAGGGGGAGCCACCAGGCAGGAGAAGAGGAGGTGTTGCTTGCTGGTGGCTGCAGGTAGAAGAAAAAGAGCGGTCACGGCGGGGTGAGGTCTTATATAGCTGGGGTAGGCGTGGGTTGATAGTTGACCTCCGCTTTGTTAGGCGGCGCTGGATACCGACCTAGACCACGAGGCGCAGGCTGGGGAATTCGAAGAGAGTCGGCTGGTCAGCGACAAACGGGAGTTGTAGGGGAGATATGCACCACAATATAACAAAGGATTTTATATTTGTTTAAGTTCTGACAAAATATCTGATTACTGTTTCTTTCTAGACTAAAATAAAAAAAAAATTATCCTTTTTACTTTTACCGTTATCATCATCGTCACTGATCGGCTCGTTAGCCTCTGGGAGGTCGGTCACGTCTCTGTTACGCACTGTTGGCAAGTACTTGGCAGGCACTGGCTTCTGAATATCTGAACCTACAGCGGGTAGTTTATTGTGCACCCCATACTCATCTTGTGAGCAGTATCGCAAAAGGATTACAGAGTAGAGCTCACAAAGGTCAGTATAACATTACTAAACCCCCATGGTCAGGATATTATGGCATTGAATGTTTCACAGTATTTAAAATAAATTCTTTTAGTTCTATGCATAGTTGGTAACTTGGTAATTTATTGGCAACTGCGTGTGTCCAGGAGTGTGAGGCAGTATGTTTGGCCGCACACTTATTCACATTTGCGTCAGAGCCTCAGAGGTATTCAAGCACAGTGTGTGTTTGGTTCTATACATGGGAACTGATATTGCTACTAAGTGCAAAAAAGTGGATACAATCTTAATATGTCAACTATCTTGCCATTAGAGATAAAGTGTTGTGCCATTTCACACACAGGATTGTCAACACGGTTTTATGCCGGGGCGCTCCTGCTTAACACAATTGCTCAAGGTATTGGATATTTGGACCCATATTCTGGAACGGGGTGGTAATATCGACAATATTTATCTAGATTTTGCCAAGGCTTTCGTCAGTGTACCCTACGAAAGGCTGAAAATCAAACTGGAAGGGTACGGAATTCGGGGAAATGTCCTAGCGTGGATAGAAGACTTTCTACATGACTGCAAGCAGTGTGTGGTGATTATTGGCACGGAATCGTCATCTGTACCTGTCACAAGTGGGGTACCACAGGGCAGTGTATTGGGCCCGCTGTTGTTTGTTTGTTTCATAAATGACATGCCTGACGTTGTACACTCCTCCATACAAATGTTTGCCGATGACGCCAAGTTATTTCGGGAAATTAAGAACCAAGCGGACTGTGAAGAGCTGCAGAAGGACCTCTGTGGGCTCCAGGAATGGTCGAAGAAATGGCTGCTGAGATTCAATGTCACGAAGTGTAAGAGGATGCACCTGGGGCGTACCAACAGTAGGGAGGCGTATCATATGTCCCAACGGGATGAAGAAACTAAACTAGTTGAGACTGTATGTGAGAAGGACCTAGGTGTGTATGTTGACAATGAGCTGAAGTTCTCGGGCC